GCTTTGTGTCCACTTCCCCTCTCAGTGAGGGGACCCTATGAGGCCCAAAGCTCTCTGTGCAGGGGGTATACTTCCTGCCACACTCTGTGAGTTCATTTGGACATAGTCCCTTTGGGTTCAGAAGTTCTTGTTTCTTCTGTGGGCTCCATCTTCTCTGGCTCCTACAATATTTTAGCCTCTCCTTCTCTAAGGTCCCCTCAGGCCTGAGGGGAAAGAATTGATGGAGACATCCTATTTAGGAACAAATGTTTTGAGATCTCTTATTCTCTGCACATTGTCCATCTATGAATATATTTATTGCCATCTACTTCAGGAGGAAGCCTCTCTGATGATGACTGAGTAAGACACTTATCCATGAGAAGAGTAAAATTCAGTAGGAGTCATTTTGTTGGCATTTCTTTAGCAGAACAGTAATATTTGAATTTCTCCTAGGTCCCTGGCCTGTCTGGTCTCAAGTTCATGTTTATCCTAGAAGTGTTAGGGATGGCTTCCGTATCATGGAGCGGACATTAAATACAACCACATACTGGCTGGTTAGTCCACAAGCTTTGTGCCATGATTTCACTAACACATCTTGATTGCAGGTCATCACTGCAAACTGAAGAGTTTGTAAATGGGTTGGTGTTTAACTTGCTCTGCTATAGCACGAAAAATGAATACTAATTAGTAGTGTTTAAGGCTCTGGGTAGGCACCAGTTCAACTTCTCCATAGTCAATGAGTTGTATAGGTATTGTCTTCAGCAACAGGGCCTTAGTTTGCAGATAACCTATGAATGTCCTGGATTATTTGAGGGTTCCAATAGAGCCCTTTTGATCAACCTGATTAATTTGAGCAATTCCCAGAATTAGAAGCTTGATTTGATGATGAGAGGTTTTATCTATCCCTCCAAGCATTCGCTCCCACAATCCCCTCTTCCACCCCCATTTGTTACTTCCATTCCAGCACCCTGCCCCTTTCTTACATAACTAGACTTTAGGTAAATTTTGAGTTACTAGGAAAATTTTCACTACAGGTGAAAATTTCAAGAGGATCCATGCAATGATGTACAAAATAAAATCACAATATTTATTTAACTTATTTGTTTTAATCAAAGCAAAAATCAACAGTCAAAAACACTACTACATGATTTACCAGGGGCAAAAAGAAAAATATCAGCAAAGAAATACTCGAAAAAACAGTGTGATTAATTGAGAGGAATTCATTCATATTAAAATACTTTGGATGTTGATCAAGGAGGTACATGCCTGAAATTCTAGAACTATGAAGGCAGAGATAAGAGGGTCCAGAATTTAAGAACATCCTTTTCTTCATAAAAAATCTTAGGTATCATAAAACCCTTACTTAAAAAGTCTTAAAATGATATTCTTAGATGCTTGTATTATTCAAATAGGATATAAAGAAGGTATCTACTTTTTTGTGGTTCTTTTTTTTTCAGTTTAAATTTAAATAAGAAACAAGGTTGCTTCACAAGTCAGTTTCAGGTCCCTCTCCCTTTCCCTCCCCTCCTCCCATGCCCTCTCCCCAACCCTCCCCCGTTATCCCCTCATTCCCCCACGGAGGGTGAGGCCCTCCATGGGGGTGTCCATAGTCTGTCATTTCATATAGGGCAGGGCCTAGACCCTTCCCCAAAAGTACAGGGTGAGAGTGTACCTCACATTGTTCTATGGGAGTCCAAAGTCCGTGTGTATACTTGGGATGGGTACTGATCTGCTGCCCAAGGCTCAATAGGTTCCCTAGGCCTCCTCACTGACACCCAGATTCAGGGGGTCTTGATCAGTCCCATGCTGGATTCCCAGGCTGATGCCTGGGATGCAAGAGTTAATCTTTGTCTGGTCAGCTGTTTCTGGGGGTTAAACCAGCCCAGTCTTGATCTCTTTGATTATCAGTCCTCCCTCTCTGTTACTGGCTTTCTTGAGTTCAGCTCAGTACTTAACCGAGGGAGTCTGCCTCTTCTTCGATCAGCCACTAAATGAAGTTTCAGTTTCCCAGACTCTCTGGCCATAGGACTGTAGGCTGGCACTCCCCAGATCTATGTCTAAAATCCATATATGAGAGAGTACATGCCATGTTTCTCTTTTTGTGACTGGGTTACCTCACTCAGGATGGTTTCTTCTAGTGTCATCCATTTGCCTGCGGATCTCATGATTCCATTGTTTTATTCTGCTGAATAGTACTCCATTGTGTAAATGTACCACATTTTCTCTATCCACTCTTCGGTTGAGGGACATCTAGGTTGCTTCCAAGTTCTGGCTATTACAAATAAAGCTGCTATGAACATAGTGGAAAGGACCCAATTAAAAAGTGGGCTGCAGAACTAAATAGAGAGTTTTCAATAGAGGAGTCTAAAATGGCTGAGAGGCACTTGAGAAAGTGCTCAACATCCTTAGCCATCCGGGAAATGCAAATCAAAACAACGCTGAGATACCATCTCACTCCTGTCAGAATGGCTAAAATCAAAAACACCAATGACAATTTATGCTGGAGAGGATGTGGTGAAGGGGGGGGGGACACTCCTCCATTGCTGGTGGGAGTGCCAACTGGTTCAGCCACTTTGGAAATCAGTATGGAGATTCCTCAGAAAAATGGGAATAAAACTACCATAAAGAAGGTATCTACTTTTAGCTTGTGTTAAATATATATATATCAAATTTTCCCTAATATGAAACAAATGAATACACTATAAATGACAATATGGCAATGTGAAATTAATACACTGAAAGAAGGTATATATTTCTAATTAGGAATAGGAAAAAATGAAAAATCTACTATGAATGATTATGAATCATAAATTTAGCAAATTCCTATAAAATCAAAAATAAGTTTTATGAAGTCTGTTCACTAACAAAAGTATAATTAGAAATTGATAATAAGAAGATAAATTATACCTTTGTTATTTTCAAAATTACATAAACAGCTAACAAGCCAAGGGAACAAGTCATATTGGAAAAGATAAAAGAGAAACATTAAGTACACAAAATATTGGATCACATCATACTGAAATCAACTAACCCCTAGCATGTGCAAGTTAAGAAGAAAATGACTGATGATAAAAGACTTAAGCAACCAGTTAAGAAGTTGAGAATAATGATAATACCCAGTTGGACTGATAACAGCAGGAAAAGAATAACTTATATCCAGATTAGATGCAATCCTGTCATTACTGAGATCAGGGTTCGGCTGTGGTTAGTAGACAGTTGAAGTTGAGCCCCTGGGCTGTGTCCCATGTCGGTCTCTCTCACATCCCCACGGGCTCCAGCACCCAAATCTGCGATGATGGAAAACATATTTTCACAATGGATGAATGAAGTAATGATGCTGGGGGAAGGCCCTGTGCTGAACTTGAAATGTTTTCTACCTGCTCTGCAACTTCCTGTAAAGGAGGGCTAGGTGCCAGCTGGGACCGCGGTTTATGTTTGCTTAGAAAAACAACTACAAAACTACTCCAAAGTCCTTGCACTAGCTTCTCGTAGGGCATTCTGTACTGCCCATCTTTAGCCAGTCTCTTGACTGTGTGCTCTCAGCCATTGCTAACTGCCTAAAATATTTATAGCTTTACAGTGGTGTTTTATGATGTATATGCTCCCACAGGCCTTGCTGGGTAGCATGGCTTATGAATTTATTGAATTTCAAAACAGATTTATATATTTCCTTTTGGCTATGCTTTATTGGGTGCTTATGCCTAAACCTACCCTGAGAAGATGGTGCCCTGTCTGGAGGGGAACTTGCCAATCACTGCACACTAATGAACAAAGTGAGAAAGAGCACAGCATTTCAAGCTGAATGGAAATTCATCTTCAGCTAAGTGAGAAAAGGAAAACGGAATGCTTTGTAAGGGTACAATATACTTGTAAATGAGACACTTGTGTACTGCCACCTTGTAAGCAGAGATGACATTCACAACCAACCAGCAACATGTGGAGAAGGAATTGAAGCGGAGGAAGATTATGTAAAATCCTGGCCTGAAAACAACCATGGATAACAGGCTGTCATAATATATGCTAGAAGTTTGAAACAACATAGAATATTTTAAAGAGTTTGGAAGCTCTTGTCTCCCCAACATGCATCAAAAAGTCTTATAAACATTCACATGTGTGAATATGTAGGTACACACATATCTGTATTTGTATATATTTACACACATTCTTACAGAAGTAACAAGGAATAAACAATCATTATGAATAATGGAATCACTTATTGATGCTTTTCTCATAATAACACATTTCTACATTCCTTAAAATCTGAAAGTCATGTTTTCTTCTGTCTTGGAATGTTAGAACAAGAAATATAGATTTGGTTCCACAGTTCTCTGTAAGTTAGATTTTCTTTATCATATCACTCTACAGCAAAGGCATTTCAGAGAATTGAAAATAGTTACATTTATTTGATCTGAGTCCTTTGAAAGTTTATCTAACTCAGGTTTTCTGACAGTCATCGATGCAGGATTCAAAGGAATGGCAATAGCATAGCTAAAAAGTTTACTACTCAATTAAACCAGGGATCTCAGAGATGGCCTATTTCAAAGTATTTCCAGTTTATTTCAGACATCCACTTCTTGAAAAGCCAAATTTTAGTGATTTTCTATTTGAACAATATTATTTTAATATATGGAATCAGAAGCCAATATGACGTTGGAACTGTAAGATTTTCATTAATCTTCATTTCTGGATAATAATGACTTATTTTCTAACAGATAAGGTAAAAAACCCATATGAGAGAGAGAGAGAGAATTTAAAGAAAACTTTAAATCTTTACAAATCATTGAACTTTTTCTTGAGGTTTTTGTTTACTCAGAACCACACAGTTTTAATTTTGGGTTCTACTGTCTTTCGTCATACATGCTCTGTGCCCACCATCAGGTACTCTCTAACATTTTCCTGGAGACTTTAGCTTAACTTTAGTATTTACAACTAAGCAAAGTTCTGGATGCTTTGGGTACATTCTATTTTATGTGTGAGTTTCTGTTGCTCTAGTGACAAGGACAATAGAGTACTGTCATTGGGCTACAGTTCCAGAGCTCTCTAAGGAAGACCCAGGCAACATGGTCTCAAAAGCAATATAGAAGTGGTTGACATACAGCCTACATTCCACTACACACCTTATATCTTTAACCCTGTGCCCTGATTCCTGAGAGCAGGTATTTTAAAAACTGAAGTGTATTTGTTGTTATTGAATTTCTTAATTAAGTTGAATCTTTTCACTCAAATCCATTAAGATGTCTTTGCATCTTGACCATGCCATTGGTTATCATTTAAGAATCTTCTATTTCTGTCCCTTCTTTTGGTGGCCCTGTTGGCTGCATGTGGTATTTCAATTGAGTCCCCACTTTCATACGCCACTAAGCACAATGTGAACTCATACAGGTCGGACGAGCTGTTCTCTGGACTTTGCATTACTATTAATTCCACAAGAAACACTGAGGCAGTTACCAGCATATCTGCTATTATTTCCCAACAGACTGCCCCACATGTAAGCTACATTAGCTATTAAATACATATTCAGTTCAGATGAATGATGTTTACATTAGTTGTCTAGCCAGTCAAATGAGTCAGTTCAACATAATTTGGCAGAGAAAATGATAGTTAAAAAATGTGTTAGACATCTACTGAACATCAGATCTGTCCTGAGTATTTAAAGTGGTGGAAGAATTTGATACTGACTTTTCCTTTTGTGATCAACTTTTAAAGATAAAAGCAAGCAAAGTGCATACTTTAATAAATAATTTACTTAAACAGTGACTCTTACCACTAAATTAGAGAGGAATAGCTAAATTCATTTGCTTTAGGACAGTGGAACAAATACAGACAAGCATATTTTACAGATGTTTTTAAAATATAATTTTATTGAATCAGATTCTCATTTAGTTGCCAAGCATTTACATTTATTTCTTACTAAATCATTGTAATTATCATCATGAATTACATTAATTTTAACTGATGACTTTTAAGAAACAGTTCACACATCTGTTATGTATTGAGTCATGGTATAGATAGCATATTAGGTACCTATAGATAATTTATTAATAAGCAAACTTATCATAAAAATTAACACGTTATAAGCAACACTATAAAATTTCACCAATCAACAATTTGTGTTTTGATATTGATGCGTGTCATTTGAAAAATTTCAAATAAGGCTGGAAAGATGGCTCAGCATATCACTCTTAGGGAAAACTCAAGTTCCATTCCCAGCACCCACACTGGGGGACTCACAAAAGCCTGTGACACCTGTTTCAGGGGAGCTACTTCACTTCTGATCTCCACAGCACCTGCTCTCTCAAGCAGATACCAACACACAGGCAAACACAAATAAACATAATTTTAAAATAAAAATAAACCTTCAAAGGAAAGTAATGAATAGAGTGTTCTCGGGTTGGAGAGATAAGGAGATCACTTCCACGCAAATAAAATCTTGCTAAGCAGAAACTATGATTCACACTGCAGATAAGTAAATGAGAAGAGTTTCTGCCTCTAAGACCCTTTTGAATTATACGTAATGTCATAAAATTCTTAATGGAACTGGCAGTTTTTGAACTATACTTGAAAAAATAATATGCACCATAAATTTGAAGTAGGGAGATTCTGAAGGTCTGGGCATAATTGAGAAGCTAACAGTATAACACAGGAAACAGATGACAAGACTATGAATTTGCGTAGAGAATCCATCTTCGGAAGGCAGATGTAAGAGGATTGATTGGTCTAAATACTCATTGAATGGAATAAATCAAACATGCTCCAAGCATGTCTGTGTCAAGGAGAATTATTACATTGATAGTGGATTTAAGAAGACAATTTAGGTGGGCTGAAATGGTAAAATGCTGCATGTTGTCACCGAATTTTTAATTTTTATGTACCAAAGAATCAAACATTGCAGAAAGTGTAGCCTGGCTAGTAAGGGCCACCTTAATTCAATTCAAATGCCTCTTCTCCTTGATAGCTGAGAAGTATTAAGCTAGTGACTTAAGTCTGCACTCTGCTTTCCTCATCTGTAAAATGGAGATAATAATAAGGCCCTTAGAGAATAATTAATTCATCTTTTTGTAGGGGTGTTTGGTATATAATGAACACTCGGTGTATAGCACTCATTAATCATTATCTCCATCCAGAATTCATTCCTAAATGCCAGGCTGAAATAGCCAACTGACATCTTGACATCTGGTTTTGAATTCATAAAGATTGACTTGGCGATTGTCTTAAATTTTCACTAAATGTTTTTAGCATCAATTATTCTCCTTAAATTTTTAGTTCCTCTTTCCGAAGTAAAAACGTCATCAGTAGAGTTTAACATGTTGTGAATATTTTCCTGAACTTAAATTTCCAATTAATTCTGAATCATTAAAACATCTTGCAACTCGAGAGATACAAAAATAAATGTATTAATATAATCGCTCACAATCTGTCTATAATAGCTCTGTTTCTTTTCCTTTATTACCATTTGCAAAAAGATGCAGTTGACATCAGAAACATGAATGTCTTCTCTTCATTTCCACACAACATATCCTAAACACCATGTTTTTCATACCTCATCTCCAATCTGTGCTATGCTGGCCCATACACACTCTTATTTCAGGTATATCCATTGCCCTATGAAGCATCATCACATTGGGATTTGGTCTCTGGCCTTCATACAACTGTGTAGTCGATATCTCTAAAATTTAAGTACGGTAATTGTATGTCTCTGAATAAAACACCTTGAAATCTTACCACCTTTCATGTGATGAAAAATGGTAGACTCTTTAGTGGATGATGATTCACTCTTCTGCAGTCATAAGGGCCCCTGAGTGTTAAGACAACAGCTGCAAACACAGTCTCCAGCCACAGCAGGGCTAGTAGTAGTGTTTGCACCAAAACAAGCTATGGCTCACCTCCTATCTTTGCTTATACCATTTCCTTTGCTTATACTACTATTTTCAGTCATTTTTCTCTCCTGATTTTTCTTATGTGTGGGACACAGGAAAATTACTCAGAACTCCCCTCAGGGTCACCTTCCTCTGAAAACTTAGCAAGTATCTTTGTTATTATCTTCTCTGGTAGGTGCTCTGTCTCCTCTAAAAATCCTTATTGCAATCCACATATATGTTTATTAGAGTACATGACACCATAATTTAATCAATTCATTTAAATGTTTATTTCACTTTATTAGACAGTACTTCTTTCAGATATACTTAAGCAAATGCATAACACTGCCTGACACAAGGACGATTCAGTATCGCGTATTTATTGAATAAATGTTATATACTTAAGAAGCCTAAAGCTCAGGGAAGTGACAACCATGCAACCATGCTTTCCTTAAAAGGAAAAAATCTTAATGGCATTATAAAAATGCTTAGAGCTGATTTGAATACCCAGTTACTTAAATTATTTCCTCTATAAAAGCCAAAGGGACATTACTAGAAAAAAATTAAAACCTTAACTTCAAAATAATGTGTTTTCACAGACCTTTCCTTGAAAATTATTTTATCACCCCCTCTCCAAAGTAGAAGTTTTGTCAGTGCATTTAAAATGCACGTACATTTCTGCTAAACTTCAAATCTTACTAATTAATTTGGCCTCATTAAAACTTTCTGTAACTTTGCACTAGGTAAATTTTCAAGGTGAAAGGGAATTATTTTTCCCCTCAATTATGTGGCTCTTTTCACACAATCCTTGAACAGACATAAAATAATTATAATGAACTTTGAGGGCGTATTTAAAAATAAAATACATTAAAATTATTAAAACACTAACCTTAATTCCAATAACTCTTCAGCTAGAACATGTCAACTTCTTTCTTCTTCTTTTCATGTTAAACCATTACATTTTATTCCAAATCAGTCAATGCTTTAGTCAGAGATGTATCCTAGTATTCTGTGAAATCAGAAGAAAATAAAAACTTAAGACACAAATACAGCACAGATATCATATTGCAGTGCAAATACGTCCACTCACAAATATCCACGGACCATCAGGTTGATGACACCAAAGCAATCTCTTGGAAACATTCACATGTCTTTCATCTGGATTCTTAATACTTTTGTGATTCTGAGCCATAATGACCCAAGTTATTTCATAGGTAAATACAATCATTCTCTTAGTTCTTTCCAGGGCAAATAAGCTATTGGAAAATTGGTACATTTGCCAGTTAATGGTACAGAATTAAATTGAAATACATTGTATAAATGGCACTGATACACTCTGGGATTAAATCACTTAAGAAAAATGATACTGTTAATTAAAGTTATGCACTACTGAGTTCATTATCTCATGCCCAGATTGACACAGAAAGCTTAGGAACTAATGTTTTCCTCTTTGCAAACAAGATTGGAAGCAGTAATGTTCAAAGATAAAAAAAATGACAAAATAAATAAATACTTCAGTGATTTGTAAAAATACTATGTTAGACAATGAAAGGCAGCTTGAAGCTACAAGAAAGGCTTACCACTGCACTTCTATTAAAAGTCTTTTCTAAAGGTGTTTGTGTCTTCATGGGGCAGTTTCAAAGTTCCTCAGCCCACAATAGCCTGATTTTCCTCTGCCCTGTCATGAAGGACACTTGCTAAGGTCACCGGTACTCTTCACACAATGTTGCACTGGATGCTCTAGCTCAGATTTTAACTCTTAAGACAGCCAATTTTCACACTTCCACAACTAACTGTAACTTTCACAGGCTTGTCTTCCATAGCCATGATGTCCTAAAGTTTGGTCAGAGCGTGTTTCCTGTCCTCTCTCTGTCCTTTGTCTATGTAATCTCAACAGGAAGATGGCTTCATTAGCACTCTATTCTAATCCAGGGTTTCAGGGTACTGAATAGTATTGGAGTCATCAATAAGAGCTACTAAAATGTCTTGGACCTGTCTTTATGTTTCCATAAAACTGATGTTACTACATTTTAGTGGTCCCCTTTCTGTGTCATCCTGATGAGGTCTTTATGCCACACCTACAGTTTCTTTGAGAAAACTAAACAAATTCTGCCAATATCACCTCAAATGTTAGAACAGCAACTCCATTTATTTTAGAATTGCAGTCTTTCATGTTACCATACAAAGTTGTATCATCACACTTTTGCACACTTTTCTAACTTCTCCTAAACCAAGACCTACCTTAGTCTCCATGTCTTAGTTACACTGGTACTTGTAAACCTTATAAATCCATCCTGTCCCAGTTCCTGAAGCTTATTATCAGAATTTCTCAACAGACAGAACATTTAATGGTGAACTCTTCCTGTAACTCCTAAGATATCTTTTAAGGTTTTTGTTGTTGCTGCTTTTTTCCCCAGATTTTTTTATTTTGAGATTAATATAATTATATAATTTTTCCATTTCCTTCCACCTTACAACCCTTCCCATATACCCCACCTTGTTCTCTCTCAAATTCATGTTCTCTTTTTTAAGTTTATTGTTGTTACAGCCCCACATGTGTGTCTGTGCCAAGGACCCATAGCAATGACCTGCAAAGCAACACAATTCCTTGGGTACAATAATGGCTCTTACATCTTAAGAATAAACAACATTCATCTAATCAAACATAATTACAAAAGGTAAGAAATCATGCCTGACACTAAATATAGCCCCATACCTGTGGTTGGTAGTTGGAGAACCTACTACTTCCAGTTTCCTAAAATAGTATGAGCTCTGGTGAATTCTAAGTATTATACTGTCAACAGATAAATGCAATTCACATCACTCATCAAAAGCTTCATTTTGCTATAATCAAGAGACATAGCAGAAAATACATTAGATCAGATGATTGTGGAGTTCCTACCCCTGAATAATACATTTAGAATATATCCCCTATACTGAAGTCGAAGGAAACAATGCAGAAGGGGGAACAGAAAGATTCTAAGAGCCAGAAGACCAAGACAGCAGCTCTGAGATGAACTTATCTGTTTTTTACCTTGCTCCCACCTTTTTTGAGACAGAGTTTCTGTGTGTAGCCCTGGCTGACATGGAACTCACTCTGTAGACCAGGCTAGCTTTGAACTCACAAACCTCTATCTGCCTGTCTCTTCCTCCTGAATGCTGGGACTAAAGACATGCAGTACCATTGCCTAGTGACAGTCTTGTCTTTAAAGAAAAAGGGAAAAAAGGACATGAAGAAGGATGCATATAGTAGAGTTGGAGGGAGTACTTACAGTAAATATGGTCAGGACGAGGTGTACAAAATTCTCTAAGAAATAATAAAACACTATAAAAAGGAAAATAACATCAAAATGAAAAGAAATCAAGATATTTGTTGCTTTATAGCCATAAAGGTCTACAATTAGGAACTGATTCACTGTACACACAGGTACACACACAGACACACACACACACACACAGCACACACACAAGATTACTAACATTGAGAATTATTATATTATTTTTTATAATTAGCTGTAAGAAGACTAGAAGGGAAGGGAGGTTGCAGGGTAAAATTATTCTTAAACATAATCTCTGGTAGCTTCAACATTCTTCTATTCAATCCCATCTCCCAGAATCTATAAGTGACTTTCCCTTGTTGTCAACATTCTAGAGTGTATGAAGACCTTTCCACAGAATAATGTCACTCAATGTCTTTTAAAATATCAGAGGAGTTTAAAACATTATGACTCCCAGAGATACATGCTTTTCATTTAGGATGATGCCTAAGAACCAGGAGAATGAGCTGATGCTAATGAATTATTATCATTGTTGTAGGTAAGAACATTTGAGACACATACAGGAGTTTCTTTAAAGTCATATAACCTAGATCAGTCCATACTGGGAATAATGTGACATATAGACTACCACAAAGAATGCGGGGAGCTGTCAATATCATTAATACTCATTACTGGAAAGCAATTCAATTTCACAGCAAGGTAATGGTTAGCTACACTTATTACTAAAATGTACAAAAGGGTGTACAGAAAAAAACATTCATAAACAGTTGAGATGCATTCTAACACAGCCAACTACTGGAGGTAGTATACAGTAACTGATTATTTGGAAGAAACCTTTCATACAGAATGAATTAGAGAGAAAAGTGAGGCTGAGTTCATGAGTACAACTGATCTTTCTGGCTGTCAATGATGAAAGCAAGGTCCCCAAAGTATCCCAGGTAAACAAGGAATGTATTTTAGTAGAACCATTTACTTAAACAGAATCACTTTAGGAGTTACATCTGCTCTGTCCCAAGGGGTCTGTTGTAACAAACAAAAGAATAACATAATCAACATTATGATCTAGTAGGAATTCACAGCAACCAGAGAGTTATCCAGCCCATCCAAATGAAAAGAGGAAGTTATCTGAAACTCTGTGAGCTCTTCATTTCCTTAACTCCAATTTTAAAAGTAACTCAGCTCCAGTGTCAGCTTGAGGAAGCTATGAAGCTGTAGTGTAGTGGACATAGGTGCTGCTAGCTATTTCCCCACGTGTAGTCTTTCCACATTGTCACATGTTCATTGTCTACTGCAGAGGACCAGGTAAGGACTCACATTGTCCACTGAAGAGGTTCAGCAGGGGATTCTGTAGTTGTCTGTTCTAAGGGACCTGACACAATTTAATATGCAGGATTTGAACTGGATCCTACCGCGAAGCCAGCCATCTTAGCCTGAGAGTCCATAGTGATTGATATTTGCTTTGTTTAAAATGCAATAGGCCTCAAGTATCAAAATAAAAAAAATAATGAAAAGAAAAGAAAAAATGCACACAAGGGAAAAGATCATTTTCAACATTTTATCTTCGCTTTTTGACAGAGCAGTTCTTAGCTCAGTGAATCAGAAATTGCCAAGCACAAATAACAATGTCTTTTCAGCCTTCTCGAAATGCTAAGAAAAGACAAAATGCTTGGCAGTGGTGCTTAAAATTTAATGCCATTTTGAAAACAAAAACCATGGGTTCCAAAGTAGAAATGATAACACTGCAAGATAATACCAGAAATATTATGCAGATAAGAGAAAAACATCAAAATGTGAGTAACCCAGTCCCCACACACCACCCCCCATCATTAAACCCCTGTTTTATACAGGGAAAGAAAGATTTGCTTTTTAAAGATGCGTACATGATTTTCTTTCCAGGGTGTTTTTGTAAAAACACTTAGGTAAGAATATGCATAAAGATAGGCAATAAATTGGAATGAAGGTTGGGACAAGGATAATACAAGGTAAACCGCATGAAGAAAACATATTAACTCTAAGGAAGAGAAAATGAAAACATCTTCTAAATGACTCCAACATATTCGGAAACCTATAAAATACCATTCATGCATAAAACAGTGAAGTAATGTACTAAAAGATTTCTGGTAAATACAAATTGCATGCCCCATTGGTGATGTTGGTTTAAGTGTTACTTTTGATATTAAATTTAAAAACAAAATTGAAAAACCCATAGTGGTAGAAAAGTCACTGTCTCTCTGGATACACATTATCTTTGAATAGGCACAAAAATGACGCTTACTGCTTTCCTTCTTCTTTAACAGGAGTGGCTGAATTTCTGACTTCCTGTGCTAACATTTCCACCTGGAACTTATCCACTGCAGAGTCCTAAGGAGAAGCCCAAAGTTGTCACTTAGCTCATCAGTAAGCTGCATAACTTTGTTATCAGAATGACTCAAGACATTGACCAGTTCTCTCCTCAACCCCTGTACCACCCCCTTCACATACATGTGCACACACAAATAGAACAAAAACATTCCCCAGAAGTCCTCACTACTGACACAGTTGTGTCAGTATATAATTTACCAACTCAGGAATGATAGTACTTATAATGTATTCATTGACTTAATAAATAACATTGTTATTGGTGTCTATTTGGTTTTAATTCTTTTATGTGAAGGCATTATAATTGCAAAGGGACTAGGACACTGAGAGAGGAATTGTCTCTTTTAAGAGAGAGAAATAATGGTAATTAAAAGAATTCATTAGTTTTTTTCATTTTGTAGTTCCATTTGTTAAAATCCTGACTCACGAGTATGAGTTCCAAAAAAGTAAAGAATTAAGATACAAACTAATTATTTTTTGAGGCTGTAATCTGTTGAGCTGGCATCTGAGCTCATATAATAATTTCAATCAAATTGGAAACAGCTTTCATATAATTTCATGGTCTATGAAAAATCCATTTGGAAACCATGTGTGACATTTTTTTACAATAGTGTGTTTATATATTTATCCTGTTTTTCCATTTTCAATCACCTGCCACCTAACGTATTTCTAGAAGAGACATATATGGCTACCATTGCTCTGAAGCCAGTAGGGTCCATCTACTCTAGAAAGCCATTATTCAGACTTCTATAAGTGCTCATTCTGTTTGATCATCCAGAGTTTGTACTTAGGTAGTTATTAAGGATAAAGTCTGTCATTCTATGGTAGAGATTGGAGGAACTGAAAATCTTTGTGTTCTATTTAAATGATATCCATGTATGCATTCAAGATAAAATGTACTTCTTAGAGTGTACCTTTAGGCCAACAAACTACTTTGAGCCATCTTTATGGGGACTTAGTGTTTGCATATTATAAAAAATGTATTAACTAATGGAAGGTAGAAATACAAGAAGATTTTTCTTCTATTCTTGTAAATTTTATAAATATCAATATATGCTGTTGATAGAACTCTATAGAACTTTCCTATACTATTTGTAGTTCTCAGCAGTGGCATAAACACATGTGAACTGACAAGTGACTCATCAACTTTGTTTTCCAGGCACAGCAATGAATAGACTAAGAGTTATTTAGTCAGTGCCTTCATCCAAGTGTTCTCCTAATTAAAACCCTCTCCTGATTACAACCTCCATGGCTCATGAGTAACACATACTGCTTGGCTCTAGGGTTTCATAATGAGTACAAAAAGACACTGTGTGTGTATGTTTGTGGGGATCCATGTGCTACTGATCAAAATATCTGAGTGTATAGCTGGACTGAAAATTCATTAGACCAGGGAAATCAATTTTAATGACTCATTGTGAGTTGATGGCTTCTTTCAATCAATGCAATCGAAATAGTTGAATTAACAAAAGAATGGAAAATATGATCCAAGGTCTGTAGGAATTTAAAATCTGACATAAGATCACCAACGTATACAGAAACAAAAAATGACTGAAAAATTTCTCTATCTTGAACAGAGGTAATGTGAGAGGGACCATTGTCATTGTTATAATTTTGATTGTTCTGAACTTTACATTCTCTGGCAACTACATATTAGCACTTTGTCAAGAACATATGTATTATATAATTCATCAAGAACATGTATTACATACTTTACCCATGATTTATCATATATGAAAACAGTTTCTTCTGTTATTAAAAAATCATTTTCCAAAGGGCATTTTATTAATAATATGCTTTGCCTTACAACTTGCGGCAGGATCTTTACAGATTAAAAAACAGAACAGGACCAGGATAATGTGAATGAATTAATTAATTATAGTTAAATTATTATTCGATATTTGCTTATCAAAATGCTCAAAAATAATGACCGATTTCTCTCTGCTATTACTGGTTGAGTATTTGGTGCCTCTGCTGGAACATAACAGGAAAGTTTCAACAGGACTTTATTCATATTGGCAATACTGAAAGATTTTCCTGGGCTCTGTGAAAACAATAAGTAAGCTCAGCAACATTCTGAAGCAGGGATTTCAGACTTGACTTATTCTATGAGAATTCACAGAGTTGTTATGTTCCAGTTCTTAGTATGTCTGGCAAAGTCTACACAGCTCACTGCAGACATGAAAGGCAGGTACATTAATCACCTGACTGGGGTGTTTTGAATACTGATTGAAAAAAGGGATCCTGCAGAGACCTAGGATCAGTCTAAGAAGATTGGGTTAGTGGGCAGTAGAGCAATAGAGAACAGACAATGCAAAGTTGTCACAGAAAAAGACAAGAATGCCTGGGAAACTGAGGGACTTCAAAGAGTCCCAAGAACAAGAATATTTCAACATATACATATAAAGCTCAACTAAGCCTCAAATTGCACAAATGTAGAAATTTAGTTCTTTTTTATTTAACATTCACATAGCAATAGAATTTTCTACCTGACACAGAAGCCATGTTGTTTCAGCTCCAAGTAAACATCAACCAATTGAATACAGTGTTGTAACACAGCTGGTGACTTTCCATCACTTAAGTCTCACATTATTTTATCAGTAATTCTATTCATGTTTTTATGCTCTTTGTGGCACTATGAGTAAATCATCATTGATTGCATTATTCTATATTTTTTCTTAATAAAGACAAGCTTATAACATTTTCAAATTTATGTTTTTGCAATCATTCATCAATGTGTTTTCTACTAATATAATCTATTGCTCATGAAATTTGTAATACCCTTCATATTAAATTATTCTGGAAGTAATTTAGTTTATCAGTCTAATGCTACATGATGACATTTACTGGTTGGAACTGAAGGTTGGATGCACCACATGCAAATGGGGAATCATTGTATTTCCATAGTGAAGGTAAACAGAGGGTTTGTAGGACACAGAGGCTTGTGTTTGCCCGGTAACAAAAAAAAATCCCTTTAAGAGAATGATTTTCAAACTTCCAAATGTTGAGACACTTTAATACAGTTCCTCATTTTGTAGTGATCCCAATCAGAAAATTATTTCATTGCTAATCCATAACTGTAATTTTGCTACTGTTATGAATCAGAATGTAAATATCTCATATGCGACCCTGTGGGTGTCACAGCCCATATGTTAAGAACAAATGCTTTAAGACCACATTCATTTACATGTAATCAGCTTTATTATATTTGATTATTACTGAAAACAACACTGTGGTGACTATTACAAAGATATGTTCTTATGACTTCTTTGAAATGTTTTCCTGTGTGCTCCTAATATTATTTTCCAGAAAAGGCACGTATCCACTATTTTTTAATCTTTTTTTGTAATGTTTTTATTTAAATTAGAAACATGAATGATTCATATGTCAATCCCAGCTCCCTCTCCCACCCCTCCTCCCTTGTCCCTCCACCAGGCCCCCAGCCCCCCACCCAATCCCAACATCATTCCCTAGGGAGGGTGAGGCCCTCCTGGGGGGGATCTCTAAATTCTGTCACTTCATCCAGAGCAGGAACTAGGCCCTTCCCCATGTGTCCAATCCACTATTTTTATGAAGACTGTGAAAAAGCCATAGCTTTCACAGTGAGTAGTAGTGTATGCATCATCAGAGTTTCTGAGTATGACTCCAGAAAGATTCCTTACTATTCTTTAATTTTTATACCTTGTTAATCTTTGTGCTATTCTCTGTCTGACATTTTCCCCTTGATTTCATTATTTGACATACAGAAACTTCTAACATTCCCTACTCTTTATGTAATACAATTGGACAAGCAGAACAAAACAAATTACCATGTTTAGAAAATTAGGCTTAGTTCATTTAATGGATTTCAGCTAAAAATAAATGAAAAATTATGACTTTTTTGGAGCATTTAAAAGATCAGAACCCTCAGAATATGGCTCAAACCAGCAAACTGGAGACTGGCTACTATAATTTATGATCCACACTGAAACAAAGAAGACATGTCTTCTTAGGTAACAAAGTTATAGGAAAAATATATCTAGTGAAACAACTGGATCCCGAAGATTAAAAAATTTATGAAACGATACAATAAAATTTCATTAAGAATTAACCTTAATTTTAACATTCATTGTTTAATGCCAAGTAGACAGATGATGTAGTAAGATAAAGTTGTAATAACTCCAAAGTAATTTTTATTTTTTTATTTTAATTTTAAATAGCTTGTTTTACATGTCAATCCCAGTTCCCTCTCCCTCCCCTCCTCCCACACTCCCCTTCCCCCCCAGCCTCCCACCCTATTGCCAATTCCTTCCACATAGGGGATATCTAGAGTCTGTCATTTCACTCCGGGTAGGGTCTAGGCATTCCCCTAAGAGTCCAGGCTGAGAGAGCATCCCTCTTTGTGCTATGGGCACACAATGACTGTTTGTATTCCAGGGATAGACACTGATCCACTGCTCAAGGCCCCTTAGGTTGCCCAGGCCTTCTCACTGACACTCACATTTGGGGGGGTCCAGATCAGTCCCATGTTAGCCTCCCCGCTGTCAGTCTGGGGTCCAAGAGCTATCCCTTGTTCAGATCAGCTGTCTCTGCTGGTTTTGCCAGCCCATTCTTTGCCAATTTGCTCATCACTCCTCTCTCTCTGCCACTGGGTTCCTTGGGTTCAGTTCAGTGCTTAATTGTGTGTTTACCTCTGCTTCCATCAGTCACTGGATGAAGGCTCCCAGATGGTTATAGACATCAAGTTCATTATCAGGAATGGGCATTCAAGGTGGTCTCTCCACTATTGCTTAGCTTGCCAATTGATGTTATCCCTTTAGATCACTAGAGGTTACTCTGGTGCCTGATCTGTCTTCTAACCTATGATTCCCTCTTCCCCCTATTCTACCCCCACCCACTCAACTTCCTGTTCCCCCATGACCTACTCTGTCTTTCTCTTCTCCCCCTCTCTTCTTCCCAGCTCCCACTCCTCTTAGCCCTCACCGTGTTCCCCATCCATTCAGAGGATCTTGTCTCAATCCTCTTCTCTTGGGTACTATGCATGTATGCATATCTTTTAGGTTCTTTCCCATTTCCCAGACTCTCTAGAAACCATATATGAATGAGTACATACCATGTTTGTCTTTTTGTGACTGGGTTACCTCACTCAGAATCTCAGAATGGCTTCCTCCAGTGCCATCCATTTACCTGCAAATTTTAAGATTCCATTGTTTTTTTTTTCTGATGAGTAATATTCCATTGTGTAAATGTACCACCTT